TCCTGCCGGACCTGAGACTCGAACTCACAACCTTTGGGTTACGAGTCTGACTCTCTAACCATTAGGCCACGACTTCCCCTTGTGTATTGTATTGTTATTTTTATTTTTGTGATTAAATCAATACTTTTCAATAACTGTTGAATAATAAAGAATAGTATTTTAAATAAGCATTACCTCAATGTTTGTTGAAAATATCTTGTGATCCCTACAGTTTTGCAATGTAACAATGTTTATTTGAATTAATATATTTTAAACGTTTTCTTGTGGATCTCTCTGCTTTCTTGCTAGCCTTGAAGTCATTACAAACTATTACAAATATTACTGTAAATACCATTATTGGATCATCCTAAATGTCAGATACTGAACTCACCTTATACGTCAGCAACTTGAGGATCTTTGGTAGGTGCCGAAACTGAAATTTAGCCACACTCTGGATTTCGACAAACAAAACATTCACTTCCATTGCAAAGCATGTTAGCGTGGACCTGGAGCAGTTCTGCTAAAGGAGATGACAACAATTAATAGCCTGTAGAAGCGGTGAGGCTTAAAGACTGCACAGACTTTTCAGCAAAAATAATTTTTTATCTATGTAAAAAATAAACAGCATATATTATATATATATCAGAGAAATATGTAACTGCAAAATGCAGTGACTGGTGAGAATGTGATTTAACAAATTACATCACAAATGACTTCTGAAAACCAACATTTGATCTTTCAATTAAAAAGCATTAAGATTTTAATCAGATTTCAAACCACCTACAAAGGTGGTTCGGACTGCGCTTGTGAAAATTAGATTTCATGTGTTTTTTCCTGTTCTGACTCAAAAAAACTGATTTGAATATGCAAAAAAAAAAAAAGTTGTAAGAGCGTCATTGACACATTTACATTAGAAAAAGCATCCAATTACTGATCAGATATTGGAATTTATTTATGAGAGGAATTTTCAATATGAATATGACTGAATAAACTCTAAAATAACAAAATATATGCAGAAAAAGCTATGGGAGCCTTTATTAGATCAAGAAAGCAGTGGTTAGAGATGGGAGAAAAAATAGTACATACAGTGGGTACGGAAAGTATTCAGACCCCCTTAAATTTTTCACTCTTTGTTATATTGCAGCCATTTGCTAAAATCATTTAAGTTAAATTTTTTTCCTCAATGTACACACAGCACCCCATATTGACAGAAAAACACAGAATTGTTGACATTTTTGCAGATTTATTAAAAAAGAAAAACTGAAATATCACATGGTCCTAAGTATTCAGACCCTTTGCTGTGACACTCATATATTTAACTCAGGTGCTGTCGACCTAAAAATGGCTGTCCACCAACGTTTACCATCCAACCTGACAGAACTGGAGAGGATCTGCAAGGAGGAATGGCAGAGGATCCCCAAATCCAGGTGTGAAAAACTTGTTGCATCTTTCCCAAAAAGACTCATGGCTGTATTAGATCAAAAGGGTGCTTCTACTAAATACTGCGCAAAGGGTCTGAATACTTAGGACCATGTGATATTTCAGTTTTTCTTTTTTAATAAATCTGCAAAAATGTCAACAATTCTGTGTTTTTCTGTCAATATGGGGTGCTGTGTGTACATTAATGAGGAAAAAAATTAACTTAAATGATTTTAGCAAATGGCTGCATTATAACAAAGAGTGAAAAATTTAAGGGGGTCTGAATACTTTCCATACCCACTGTATTTCTTTAATCTTGAAAAAAGAAAGGTGGAGTTAAATGCGAAAAAACTAAATTTGTGAAGTGTGATAGGTTGACTTCAGAGCATTCTAAAAACAATTTGTGACCCTTTATCTAAATTTTTCTTGGCATTTTATGAAAAATCATTTGTCAATGGATGACTTCCACCATCAATGAGAGTATTGTTAACGTAGTACCAAAATACTCTTTTGATTGATAACTTGGACCTAATCACATTATTAAATAATGACTATAAAATTTGGGCATTTGTCCTGGCAAAACAACTTAAATCTGATTGATGAGTACCAGTCAGGGTTTATGAAGGGTTGCCGCATATCCAACAATGTATGGTTAGGTCTTTATTTGATTGATTATTGTGATTTGGTTTTGGATCCTGCTTTAACTATATTCTTAGACTTGTTTATTTGGAACAATAAGAATATTATTTACAGAAATAAATTATTTTTTTTTTTTTAGAATTGGTATCTAATTAATATCTATATTGTTAATGAGTTGATAGATGACAATGGTCAGTTTTATTCCTTTTCAGAGTTCTCAAGAAAAGTTTAATTTGTGGCTTCATTAAAAGAGTATACTATTGTAGTCAACACCATTCCTAATGATATGAAAAGAGCAAACCTATAATAAACCTATTACAAACCTATTTCGCTGTATAACATTTCTATTTTAATTGAAGGAATTTTGATTACTGATGACAAATTCAATAAACACTGTTTGCAATCATATCAACAGACAATCTATTCCAGCTTCTTATTTCAAATGGATGGAATTATACAGTGTTAACTGGAATTTGGTCTGGTCTGGTTTCTTTCACACACATTTCCATTACCAAAAAAGATCAAATAAGTCACTTAAAAATATGACATCGATGCTATCCTTTTAATAGTAGGCTACACTCAAAAAAAAAAAAAACTATTGAACTTGATGATCTTTTTTGGGAATTATATTATATAATATTAAAGGATTAGTGTAGAGCCCTTTGATGTTGCATTGAAACCTGTTGGCACCCATTGAAGTCCATTATATGGAGAAATGTTTTCCTCAAAAACCTTAATTTCTTTTTGACTGAAGGAAGAAAGACATGAACATTTTGGATGACATGAGGGTGAGTAAATTATCAGGAATTGTTTTATTCTGGAAGTGAACGAATCCTTTAATGATTCCTACATATTTTGCCATAACACTTTGCGATAAGTGTGACATCTGTATGTAGATAATAAAATTGAATAACACAACACAATCTACAAATGGTGCTGACACTAATGTTAGAATCTTTTTGAAATATATCAGTGAATAAGTGCAAGAATGTATTCCAGTTACAGCTGTGTTTACACTAAAGGTCAACTAAAGAATAAACAAAGGACAAAAATGCCTCAGCTGTTCTTCACAAAAATCTTCAACATCACTGCCTACAATATTATTAAGTAAACATTTAGCCTTCATATTAATGCAATTTATCAAAAGCACTCTCTCTATCCTCTGGTTTTAAAGCAATTCAATTAAATTGATAATTTATCCTAACAGTAATGATACTATCAGTATCAAATGCCAAAGATTCAAGTGCCACTTCAGGCTAATTATTTTTGGCAGCATATTAAAACAGTATACTGATAACTAAAGACTGTGTGTGAAATCACATACCTCATAATCTGATAGAGTTGGAGTGTACAGCATGCTATCGTTTTTCTGTTATGAGAGAAACCACACCTTAAACAGGAGCAGAGTAAGAACAGACTAGACAGATTTTTTTCAATTCAGAAGTAAAAAAAGAAAAGAAAGTAGTACTAAATCGTGTGCTACCACTTTGCTCAGCTCCGTTGTGATCCTTTTCACCATCTTCACACTCTCTTTGCTGCATATTGATTGACACTTGATCTGTCTTGTCAACATGATCAGCAGATACAGAAATAATGAAGTAAAATGCATGGAATAGTGGAGCAACTCTGTCCTCATATCAAATATCCAGCTCTCCCTCCCCAACACATCTGTCACCAAGACATAGGGACTTTAAGTGGCTACATTTCCTCCTCACTAGGGTTTGGCTTTTATTAGTAGATTCAGGCTAGAGCAGCTGAAGACACATTCTGCCTCTAATATAAAGAAACAAGATGGAGAGGTGGTTGGGGGTGTTGGGAGGGACAAATACAGATTACACAATACATTATATAATACAGAATTAACAAGAATATGCCTTGAAAAGAAGTAACAATATTTTTTATTTATTATTAGCCTAGTGTTTATTATTATTATTTTTTGTGATATAAATAGGCCTATTTTGATCTATTTCTAATGATGATAATTTAACACTGACTTAGTTACTCAAGAGGCATTTTTTAAAACTGCAGTAGTCAAGCTGTAGCACAGACCTACCTCATCAAACATTTCTGGAGGGAATAGTTTAAGACGTCAATAGGCAGAATTGCACATTCAGGCGGAAACATTATGCAGAACACCTCAGCGTGTTTTCATCTGCCACAACTCCAAGGAAAAACCAAAACAATAATAAAACGCTGATATCCGAGTCTCTGTCCACTTTCAGCTGAAATGACATCGACGTAAGTCTATCCGTCTTCATGAGCACCACAGCGTAGTACAACCTCGGCCGAGTGTGTGAACTGCAGTCGAGTATCTTTATACCGCCGCGTGATTGGGCTGGACTGTGATGCCCTCATGAGTCATAGAAACATCTACACTGGAGGAGCCACCGAAACGGAAAGTACTTTATGTAGACTTGACAAGTGTAAATATTTAATACAGTGAGTTTGATCAAGGTTGGAGCTAAATTCTGTAGCGCATTGGCCCTCCAGGGCAAGATTTGAGGAACCCTGGTCTAGAGCGTCTACTGGCGACGCTGTACTGAGTCGGGCGACGTCTCGCCCCTATGAAAATTATCATTTTGGGACTAAGATCTCTAATGTTAAACTAACCTGCTGCGCAGCAGTAACCAGACGGACTCCAAACAATGCCTTTGAATATGCTTTAATCACGGCCGGGAGGATATCATCTCAATCACAGAGAATCCCCCAACAACAATGATACAACAGTTTTTATAGGAAAGGTACATAGCAAAAGTAACATGTCACATTACATAATTTTCCTCTGATCTGATTGGTTCTCTTTATGTGAAAAATCAAAGACCACTTCTACTTGGTTACTGATACCTCAGCTTATTCCTTAAATCATGTATCATTATTAGTAGTCTCAAACAGACATCATGTTTCATTATTGCAATGCTATTTAAGACTAGAATATTTTCTGTTCCCTGACACGTAATCAAAAGTTAGGCCTGCAAGGAAAAGAAGTGTTACACATTTGTGATCAACTGATTTTGATTAATTTATTATATTTAAAATTTCCTTCACCGGCCTTATGCTTTTTTCCCCTTATCCGAGACATACCCATGCATCTACCATGATATCACTTGTTTCCAGCAAAATACCATTTGTTTTTACTAAAAATAAAAGTTGTGGTAACTCAGTGGCTCAATCAGAATTACACGATGCAGGTTTTATTTAGGTACAAATAACAGCGAGCACATTTTCCATTCAATGTGACAATCATGGAATTTTTTGACAGTAAGTACAGAGATCAGGTATGAACATTTGTTTTCTTTGCACCATTTCTATCAGGCATGGTGTGGAGCAAGACCTTAGGTAAACAAATCTGAGATATACGTTTAATTGACTTAAGCATTTATTGCAACAATCACGTTAAGAAATCAACAATGCATTACATAAAAAAAATACACTAAAAATTTAAACAAAATCAAGAGTCAATTTGATTACCATTACCTTGTTTTAGACCAGAATACCTTTCTTGGGAATGATGTAATGCTTTTTCATGGTGTACAGCAAACATTTTCATCAATGCAAAATATCAGATGTTTGTATTAACATCAAAGCAGCGATTCATGTTCCCATGTTTTCAAATGCATTATTAACCAAATTTGTATAGAACACTGGCAATAAAAAATTATTTTAACATACAGTGGGGAAAAAAAGTATTTAGTCAGCCACCAATTGTGCAAGTTCTCCCACTTAAAAAGATGAGAGAGGCCTCTGGAGCTCTTTGGTCTTGGCCATGGTGGAGTTTGGAGTGTGACTGTTTGAGGTTGTGGACAGGTGTCTTTTATACTGATAACGAGTTCAAACAGATGCCATTAATACAGGTAACGAGTGGAGGACAGAGGAGCCTCTTAAAGAAGAAGTTACAGGTCTGTGAGAGCCAGACATCTTGCTTGTTTGTAGGTGACCAAATACTTATTTTCCACCATAATTTGCAAATAAATTCTTTAAAAATCCTACAATGTGATTTTCTGGATTTTTTTTCTCGTTTTGTCTCTCATAGTTGAGGTATACCTATGATGAAAATTACAGGCCTCTCTCATCTTTTTAAGTGGGAGAACTTGCACAATTGGTGGCTGACTAAATACTTTTTTGCCCCACTGTACATGAGAATGTTTTGTCTGAAACACACTATTTTCCAGACACGTCTGGACCACATTCGAGAAAAATGTGCAAAACAAAGAAACAAGAGTTAAGTGCCAGAAAACAACTACTTCATAAATAAGTTCTTTATATATCACAGCCAACTGAAAGCCTTTAATGACAGAGGCTTTAGTTCAATTACATATTATACATTTGCATATTACAGAGTCTTAGATGCAATAAAATAAACACTGTCAAATATAGCAAAGCAGTCTTTTATTGATGTTTTACTGGTATCTTGGCCAGGAAGTAGGGTTGAGGGTTAATCAGGGATACGGGAAGTAGGGGTGCTGAGGGGGCTGCAGCACCCCCTGTTTTCACATGGTTGCAAACGCAACGCCAAGTTTGTTCATTTAAATTTATTCCGTTTTAGCATTTAATAATTTATTTGTAATGATCTCTGAAATGTAAATTGTAAGTGGGCTATAATAAACCCATGTTTATCTTTATAAACATGATTAATTTTACTTGTGATGTTTTCTATATGGGATGATTAGCCTAATCCTCATGAACACGTGACGCTAGCGCGTGGTATCAGACATGAACTGTACCGAATGCGAACGAGATTAACTTTAATACAAGGAGATAATGGCGCAAAAGCGAATTTCAGATTTTTTTAAATGCCCATCCCAGCAAAAACTTTCCAAAATCGGCATCTAAACAACACCAGCCCCAGCATGAGCACCGGCGTAAGTGAACCAGCCCCCCCCCCTTTACCAACACGGACACACACAGCACCCCCAACCGAAAACATCTTCCCGCTGATGCTGACCCTTCTCCTGCTCTGGCTGTCTGCCACAGGGGACAGTGTCTGAGTCAGGCTGACTTGTGCATTGCTAAAGGATGCTATCCTCCCACTCCCGGCAATCTGCAAGTTGACTGTGGTGGCATAACTGGTTTTTAATGTTGTTTTGGACCCTTGATTAGGAACACTATCTTCTGTTTTGCCCTCGGTTGGACACTGAATGGGACTCATATTTGGGTTAGCAGGTGCGACATAGGGACAGATCAGGGTGCTCCGACAAGTAGATTCTGAAATCTCTATGTCATCTTTCTCTGTCTCAGTGCAGGACAAAGCATCAGATTCAGTATTGGGCTCTGTCTTGTATTTTGTCAACATATCATGTACATCTGGCCAGGCAATGCTTGAGAAATGTTTTCCGCTATGACTGGTCCTTTCAGTTGTTAGTCTGACAGGTGAAAGAGGGCCAGGGCTGATAGAAGATGGGCTGCCACTGTATGAACCCCCATGAGGACTTATTAACCCCAATTCTGAACCCACTGACCATCGTCCACTTTCTGCCCAAGACCTGCGTTCATGTCTAGTTGGACTGGGTGGTCTGTCCCCTAGAGCAACAAAGGACAAACTGGTTCCTCGAAGCCTCCTCTGGCTCTGCGAGCTGGTTGCTGAACATGAAGACATTCCCATTGGGGTAGGAGAGATGATTCTGGGGCCTCTAGAGTTTGTTTCCACTTTTGTTGGAGAAGATGCATTTGTTATTGAGGGATTCCTTGGCTGCGGATTAGCAACACCCCATACATTTGCAGGAATGCCAATAGGAGGTGGCGAGGTGATTCTGGGGCTCTCACAGGGAGATAATGAGCTAGCTGATGTTGATCTTGAGATTTCCAAAGATAGAGGGGTAAAAAAGCTACCTTGTCTGGGGGTTCTGGGATTTGGTGGCTTTGTTACCAGATGACTGGAGTGGTTTGGAGCAGGTGGAGGGGAGCAGATTTGGGTGACTGGAGATGGGCAAATAGAAGGGGACTGTACACAAGAGCTAGGCTCAGAGGACGGAAAGGGACGAGCCACCCTATTGTGCAAGGTTGTTCTTTGAGGATCATGGAAATGAGGGAGTCCACCCACATTTGAGTGTGGTGTTGTTTTGTGGTTAGTGGCCCACCCGTTATTACTTAAACTGTTGTTATTGTTATTATTACCATTTAAACTGGTGTAAGAAGGCTGTTCAAGAGCAGCAGAGTTTGGGCTGTTAGCAGATGCAGCTGAATGGAGGCTAACTGGAGGTGCAGGGGATATTGACCGTTGACTAAGGCAAGGAGGAGGGGACTGAACTGTTGATGGACTAGATCGAAGACTGTTTGATCTGAATGGGGATGGACAAGACCTTAGGGGTTGACTCCCTACCCCAGTGCTGGATGTACTCCTAAAACCTGACTCCGCACTTAAGTCCAAGGTGATGGGTTTAGGTGATGGTGACCTTAGCCTTAAAGAAGATGTGGGCAAAGGAGCAGAGCTCACAGGTGGGGAAGCAGTCTGAAGATGTGCACTTCTCTTGGCCATGGTTTGAGAAATTGTCTGACTAATACAAGAGGCAGCAAGAGACTTTGTATGAGCTGAGGCCGTTGAGGACAGTCTGGAGTTCTGGGCACTTCTATTTGGAGAGGGTGATCGCATTCGCAGGTTTGGGCTAAAGGCAGACAGTGGTTTCGCATCTAATGGAAGTCCACAACCAAAAGGAATGTTTGAAGGCTTGTCATTAAGAGCCTGGGAGAAAGACTGTCTGAGAGGAGAAAGGCCAGGAGCTGAAGTATCCTGAATCTGTTCCTCGGTCCGCAGTGAAGTATGTGGCACTCTGAAAGGCACGATAAGACAGATTAACATGAAATCAAATACTTACACTGCTGTAATATAAACTACAATAGCATAACCTAAATATCAGTTGGATACACTATATAACTACAGTTTGGTTTGTGACATGCTTCGCAGACTACCTTTGAGTGGCTGGAGATGATGGATTCCAGTTGGTTAAGGGAGTTCTCGTTCCTGTGGCAGAAGGTAGATTGGAAGGCCTTTGGCTAGTAAACCTGGGAAGCTCATCCAAAGAAGGTCCACCTACAGGTGGTGTAGAGGGTGGGCTCAAAGTCTTTGAATTATTGCTCGGCTCCTTCTTCCTGATCTACAAACTACGTTACAAATATCACACAAGATCATAATTGAATTATATATGGATTAGGAACTCACCTGTGGGCTGATTTAGTATTCTCATATCCCCCTGGTGCAGCTGTACTTGCCGAGACTTGAGTGAAGTGCTCTCATTTCCTTCCACTGACCATGCTCCTCTACTCACTCGTGTTTTCTTCTGGTGTAGTGGTACCTTCATGCTGCTTGCTTTCGCTGTGTACATGCGTGCAAGCATTTGCACTTTATTAAGAATCTTTTCTGAGTTCTCTACCAAGCATTGATTGACTGGTCCACCCTCAAAAAATCCTAAATCTGGTACCTTTTCCATTCCTTCGTAAAGGGTATGGCTACACGTTACTACCTTGCCATGACGAGACCATCGGCCAACTTTAATCTGACTGGGAAGGCTATCCAGCTTTCCGCTAGAGGACATCCTAGGTCTTGTTCTACTTTCATACTGAAGAGATGTATCCGCTGTCTCTGTCATCTGCAGATTAGATGTGTCTGAAATGTCAGGATTGCATTGTGAATGCTCATGTTTATGCTGCATCTGGGTTGTTGTGGAATTTAGGGATGCCTTGTTTTTCTCAGGAGCATCTGTATGTTCACCACAGCTCTTTTCTTTTGAGAAAGAGACTTTCAGATTGTTTTTAGAGTCTTGGCCAGTTCTTTCTTTTTCCTTCCACAGTTTCATACAGGGATTGAACTCACAAATGTCTTCATCCGTTTTATCAGCATTCTTGCTGCTTAATAATTCTTTTTGTTCTTGGATAACATCTGAATGTGAAAGAGGAATGGCTGGATCAGAAGATTCCTCATGGTTGAAATTCTGGTCAGATTGGTCTGATGTTGGGAGTAATGAAGATGCTGCGTCAGTTTCACAGCCTGAGTGGCTACTCTCAGACTCAATTAGACTGTCTTGGTGAACACAAACATTGAATCGAGACACAGAATCCTTCACTAATCCAGCAGGAATATGAGAGAAGCTGTTTCTTCGTGCTGTCTGACCCTCCTCAACACCTACCTCTGCTGCCTCATAATAGCTACGTATCTTCTCAATAATCTGCTTATCACTTTTGGTTAGTTTTTGCTCGGGTTCTACTTTGGGGACAAGAGAGGTATCAGTTGCTTTTAATGTAGTAGAAATGTGAGCACAAGCTGACTTAGCCTCACATGCTGCGTCATCAGTGGTTTTGTCAAAATGATCAGATAGATTAAGTTCTTCACTCTTACTAACAGAATCCTCAGTATCTCTTTTCCCCTTTTCATCTGTGGCCTTCACCATTTCTGGGTTGGATGATTCACTATGACTAGGCTCTGGTAATGTCAACTCTCCTGATTGATTCACTTCTTTGGAGGTCTGCAATAGTGATGATGCTTCCTCAAGCTCCTCTGGTGGAGCAACATTTGCTTCACATGATGGATGGCTGTCTTCGCATTTGTCTGACACATATACCAGCGTTTCTTCTGCCTCTGATCTTTTGGTATCGTTGGTCTGATGTTTATTTTCATCCACCTCAGCTATTAGTGGTTTGTACTCATCTAACTGCTGTGCCTCCGATGGCTGGACTTCCAGGGACTCTGGAGTCAACTGACACAATGGGAAAAAAATTGTAAAATGCCATTTTCTTATAACTATAACTAATCACTGATGTCAGTGTGTATAGCCATAGCAATGAAACATTGTGTTGAGTTACTATAGCAATTACTGTCTTGGTTTGAGGTGTCAAAATGTTTTTGTGCTATATGTACCACTTCAGACGTTAACTCTGCCATGCCTTGTCGAGCACGGCTCTCATTAATGAACTGCATGATTTCCTCAGTAATGGACAGTGTTGGTGGTGGAGGGAGTGGGGTCATGTCATCCTCATCCTGACATAAAGCCAGATCATCACGGCCAGATTCAACTTCAATGACAGAGGATGCCAGAGTACTGGTACTGCCTGAAGAGCCCATGCTATCAGCCTGTGGGCACAACTCCCCTTCACTGCCAGCCTGAAAACCCATTAAATGGATAGAAGCATAGATATACAGAAATTTCAATTATGTCATTTTGGACCTTTGAATAACATGTTATCACAGCTGTGATACCAAAAGTATAAACAAAACCTATTGATACATGGTTGCATTATGTTGCAAAAACTATATAATTTAGGCTGTATGATATATAATGTTTAATGGAAGAAAATGAAATTCTTTCACACCTTTAAAGAACCTGGATTCCATGAGCATTGAAGCCATGGCAGATTGGAAAAAGAAAAATAGAAACAAAAATTATTTATTTTTTAAAAGTTTTCCAATGTTTACTTTTTCACATTCACTTTCAAAATAATATCATTACTGATGAAAGAACAACAAGATAACATAAAATTATAGAAAGTGAAAGAACTAAAGTCTACACTCACCACTTTGCTGGAACGCAGCTTCTAAATCTTTGGCAGGTGCTTGAGGCACATAAAGATAAACTTTAAACTTTATAAACCTTTTTTGCCAAAGTACAATAGTACAAGAATTTTAATGTGGTGCCGATATCAATATAGCTTAACAAACAACACTAAATAAAAAAAAATATATACAATAATAAACATAAAAAATGCAATAAAAAATATGTAATTGTGCAGCTGTGTATATAACTTAATTTTAGGCCTGTTTTAAAAATCTGAGATTAGATTATATTCACCAGACTGTCTCCTCCCACGCTTGTATGATAGGTTACCCTCTAGGAGGAGTGGAAGGCTTTTCTTGGCTTTCTCTGGGGTGTAGATGAACTCTGGTGGCTCTGTCAGGGGTTACGAAGTTCATGTTTATGAGTATTTGAATTATTGCAGGTTGGAATTTTAAGGTATTCTAATGAACGCAACATGCCAGACCTGATTGCCTTCTTCCTCTGTGGTAGTTATGAACATCATCCAGTCGTGGAGAAGGCATTGGTTTTCTTATTGGCTCCTGATCAAACTGTGGGGCTGAGTATAATACATAAAATGAATACTCCACAGCAAGTCACACTCATTGCCACAAGCAACAGTTAAAAATGACAAGAATGCAAAGAATACTTACACTGACAGAAGTTGTCACCAAGAACCTGCCTTGCCTGGAAAACATGTTTTAAATAGATATTTAGCGCTCTGGTGTCTTTCTGTGAACTATGTATGACTGTACATTATCCTTGACATAATGATGCATAGTTTGACCTATAAAAAACCTTTTACTTTTAGGGGTAAGGATGCAGGATGGTTTTCCACTATCATCCTTTTGAGGTAATGTAGCCACAGCCGCTTCTCCTCCTGGTTTTTAGCCTACAGAGAAGTATAGTAAGGTTTTTAGGAATATACACTACAAAAAGTGTCTTTTCATTACTTTTAATCAGTTGCTACAAACACAAAACAAGTAATGCATCTACAAAATGTTTCAGTAATGAAGTTGTCTGTCTTGTGCATTTTAAATATTTTACCTGAACAATGTGTTGCTGTTTTGGGATCGTTTGGTCAGACACCTTAAAACAGAGGGGATCCTTCATGTTTTCCACTAAGAGCAGATTACAGCACTTGAAAGATGAGAGGGAGAAAGAGAAAAACATGAGGCTTGCATATCCTAAATGCTTTAAGTAAAATGCTACACTCTACTGTAGATATACAGATTTAGAAAGAAAACTGAAATCTGATGATGACTTACAAAGATGTGAATGCTGTATATGAAATGATCCAACTTTTTCTTGGCAATGAGAAGCATTTTGTCAAAAAGAAAGAATGCTCTTTCCTTTTTCACACGTTGAACCCGGAAGGAACCTTCAAGTACCAGCTCTCCAAAACCACTTAGATCAGGCCCAGTCCAGTTCAGCAACAAGCTCTCAATCTCCTTTAAAAAAAGAAGTAACATTTGCAACAGAATTCAAATCTAAGAGTTACAGAATATTTGATTCTGTAAAAAGTCATAGGGAGCATTTGATGGCTGGAATTACCTGCAGTCTGACTGCATGTTCCTGTTTCCTCTTCATGTCATTGATGTACCAGGCAACTGCTGTCATGGTTATAATGGCATCTTCCACCACCTCATACCCTGGATCACTTTTATCAAAGTGTTTGGACAGTTCCTACCACAAGAGAGCGACAACAGATCAGCTGTACTGTACAGTCTGACCAGAGTTACATGTCTGTTTTAAAGTTTACTAGCTTGGCCCCATTTGCCCATGCTAGTAGATGCCATATCTACACCTGTACACCATCTTCACCAGCAAAAAAAACATAATTTTGAGGGAAAAAAAAGATCAGATCTAAAATCGGCACTACTGTCAAAACATTGTACTCCACTGACCTGCAGCAGGAGGTGGTATTTTAGAATCCTTTGCACTGGTTTTAGCAGGTAAGTCTCTAGAGGCAATGAGTGACACAGAGAGGCCTGCCTTTCCTGGAAGAAGCGCACCAGGCTCTCATTCTTCATGCAGTCCCGCAGGACTGTTACTGAGCTGGATGGAAACAGGGAGGAAGATTTTTAAGCAGGGTGGTCTACCGGGAGACTCATCTTATCCTAAGGCCTGTGGTAATGCATTCAGCTGATGGCCATCTACAAATGTACTTACAGAACACTTAGACTTCTCACATACAGTCTCTAAATGCTAAATACAACTCAAAAGTATTTATGTTTTTGTGTAACCTCCAGTTTCTTCCATTTTCAAAAAAACGTGTATTTTGTTCTTGCTGTAACTGACCGAGTATGAGTGGTTTGACATTCCCTGACTATGTTTTGAAGGAAGGGTTGAATGAAAGCTATATGGCAGCTCGACAAGGCATGGCATATTTCATTCAGTCCATTAGTGAAACTCCAACAGTCATTCCCAAGAGGCCCCCAAACCGCCAGACTGGTCAGTCTTGAGGGAACCCCTCCTTCCATATCGTTAAAGAAAACAACGTGACGCTCTCTAAACACTATGGACTTCCCTTCATGTGGCTGAGGGGAAAAGTTCGGAAGGAAACCGCAGCACTCCAGCCTTCATCATCCTCTCTTCCCCTCTGAAGACAAAATTAATTTAGTGGCTGACCTTTGTGGCAGGGGGCATTCATTGTGGTTATAAAGGAAATTGAATTGAGTTCATGCATGCTTTCTTGGATTGTCCAAAGAGCTTAGTGTTCGAGGTGCCTGTAGGGATGGGATGTTTCTGAACGATGACTTGATTGTCTTGAAAAGGTGTGGCATAATAACAACAACACATAGTTCCGTAATTTGGAACTGTAAAACAATAAAGATCTTACTGTTGATTCAAAGCCACAATTATCTGCTTTCTTGTCCGAACTGTGGTAAATAAGCTGGATTCAATTAGATCTTGGCAAATATTGTGAGGTTTTGGCCCCTTCATTCAAATCCGAGGAAACTGTTGGCGGACCAATAGTTTGAGACTTGAAATATGTGTGCAATATACATACTAAATACTTTCCCAGGTTCTTCTTTGCCAGATACAGTGCATACAAATAGATTTTTTAAGAGTGTTTGAGTTAAAATGAGAGATTTAATACATTAAGACTCCAGATTGGTTCTTTAACGGTGTCAGAATTGGCTACAAAACCATGTTGTAAAACCATACAACAGACTACAATAAACACCAGCCAAAAAGTCTCACTTATTCATTTTCAGGAGTTATGACCAGAAACGGGGAGTTACCTGAAGGAGGCCCTGAATGTAAAAAAGGAAAAAAATTAAAAGCAAAACCGATAAAACCAGAAACAAAATCAGCAGAGCGACTGGAAACACCATATAAACACAAGTTGAATATGGCAACGACAGTATGATTCCTGCCACTGACAAGCATTTTTTCTTTGACCGTGTCAGAATTGGCTACAAAACCATGTTGTAAAACCATACAACAGACTAAAATAAACACCAGCCAAAAAGTCTCACTTATTCATTTTCAGGAGTTATGACTAGAAACGGCGAGTTACCTGCAGGTGGCCCTGAATGTAAAAAACCCAATTCTCTTAGTCCCATTCAGTATTCACTTCTCCCTTCACGTTTTTTGGACTCAACTCATAAGTTGTCATCTTGTCTCGAATCATACTCTCCTCCTCGTCTCATCCCTTTCTTTTGTCCTACTCCCACAATTCATCCATTAACATGGTGTGTATAACTCAAAAAGAAGTTCGCTGCATTACGGTTCCTTTCATCTAGCTCATATTTCCTACAGCAGTCAAGCCTTTATTTATGCTGGAGACACAGCATCCTATGGTGGGGGAAATTCACACAGTCATTCTTCTTTTTTATGCAATATACAAATCCTCAAGACAAATCTACACCCATTATTTCTCTCAAATGAGATCAAAGCAGACAGTGAGACAGTGAGCAGACACGAGGACAGTGAGACTTGTGCTTTAGGGAAAACCAGATTTGTCTTTATTAAGAAACGAATGCTCCTTAATCTCAGCGTTAAGGTGTATTAGAATCCAAAATGAAATCAAAGCTTGGTATGGTGACAGACTGAGACCCCATAAGAGCACACAAAAGAGGTAAATGTTGTTGCTATCTCACTTAATGGAGGAAATCTGTCTGGGCAGATAAATGTGTCTCTCAATGGTCCTGTCTGAAATGGTACACTTGATGTGTATTTGCTACATGAGACTATGGGGTGTCCCATTTTTATGAATCTTTTATGACCCATTAGTTGATTTTTTTAAGCAACAAATTTCAGCTTTCTTTGTGATTATATGTAGATAATTATTAAAACTGATTTGGAAGCCTTTTGAAAACTCATTATAGAAAAAAGAAAAAGTGAAATAATATTTATGAATATTATTTATATCAATAAAAAAACTATGAAAATTATATATATTAAGCAGCAAATCAGCATATCAGAATGGTTTCTGAAGGATCATTTGACACTGAAGACCGGAGCAATGGCTGCTGAAAATCAGATTTGCCATCACAGGAATAAATATCATTTAAAAATATATTCAAATAGAAAATAGTTATTTTAAATTGTGATAATATTTCACAATTTTACAGTTTTTATTCTATTTTGATCAAATAATTGCAGCCTTGGTGAGTATAAGGCACTTTAAACATACAACATACAAAAAAATAAAAAATAAAAAAATAAAATAGAGCCATTTAGACACACACACACAAAAAAACACTTACAGACCAAAACTTTTGTAAAAGTAGTGTAGTCATATGGACTACTTATATTGTGCTTTTTTGTTGTTGTCATTTTTGGAGCTTGACAGCCTGTGGTCACTACAAACTGTAAATTAAGAAATATATTTTATTTATGAGTGAACTATCCCTTTTAGAATGGCTTTCTTAAAAACGAATAATTCATTCTGCTCACTACATGCCAATATAATCTCAAGCAGTGGCCAAAAGCAGCTGCAATGGGAAGAAAAGTCCTGCCATTTTATTAAAGGATGTAAACATACAAAGCGGTGCAGGAAAGCAAAGCATGCAACTAATACGGTGGTTAAAAGGAGCCCCTCTAACAATATTTATCTTGTCTCTCTCTGCTCTTTCACCTCTGACCTTGAAAAAAAGTCATAAGCTGGTTTCATGAGAAAACGGTCTCATCATCATGCCACATAAAATATTGGCTGGTTTGGGACGCCTGCTGAGGAACAGAGAAGCCGGGGGTCACTAAACTTTCTCGGTTTTAAAGTGGTTGGTTAACACAGAGTTATAGGGAACCAGTTCCACTGGGTTAAAGTTTAAGGAAGATCTGGGTCACAGTGAGAAACTTAGGATGGAAGTGAAATGGACCAATGTGAAAAAAATCATGATTTGTTCCTTTAAAAAGATCTATAGCATAGCTTAATAATTAGCTATCATTTTTACTAAACCAACAACCTTGGGGTAGTGAGATTTCCAGCTTGAAGTGGTTTTCCAACACTATAATCATAATAATGCTGCCGTTAAGAAGATACATTCTTGCCTTAATGAGGAAAGTGCATTTTGCATTAAATTAGAAAGTTAATCATATTTTCCAACCTATTTTGTGTCCAACAGAGGCCAAAAACCAAAATAGGTCTCAGGAGTGGTCTGGTTCCTGGCTGTTGGGCTGGCAAGAGTTAAGCATCGCTATCTATCAACACTGTATCAGTCTGTTTATCAGTGCTTGGCCTCATTAACCCTTAATAAGCAAGCCCTGGGACCAAAACCAACATAGACAAACAAATTCCACCAGACTGCAACGGACTAAAGTACGGGAAAGTGCCAAGAATGGCAGTTACAATCTCCAGAGAGAAACTACGGACACTGGAGCCAACAAAAGAAGGCCACCAGGCAAAACAAACTAAAAAAAGATTCAGACTGAACCGCTACAATAAACAGGTACAAATAAACAAACTATATGAGTCCTGTAAGACTCTTTTTGTCACCTTCCAGCTTTCCCTGTGCCTCTGCATTCCTGGACTCTAAAACGTGGGGTCTTTTTTCTCTTCTGTTTTTTTCCAGAGCCACAGGGCATCTGGGAAGGCAAACATGCTGAGGTGGGGGCAAAATGAGCCAGAAAATAAGGGACTGGCGCAATCAGCACCTTTACAATGCAGGGGGAACACGGGCACTGTAATTACGCTGATTTACACTCAGCAGTAGAATGGAGAGAATTCCCCTGAAAGAGGGTCGCGCTCATGAGAGTGACACATGGCAAAACTGGAGCCATGATGAGATGATTGATGACACAGCTACTCAGAGATGAGTGAAAATACAGGTTGTGAGGGGAAATCTGAGGATTACATTGCGAGTTATGAAAGGAGAGTGTGCGAAAAAAGCGGGACCAGCCACAGACAAAGGAACCATAAGTTATGTGCACATTTTCTTGGCAGATGCCGTCTGACCGAAATGACTTACTAGAGCATACATGAAGTGTGTTGTGACAGCCAGTCTGGCAAAAAGAAAAACATAAATGTTCACATATGAGATATGGACCAGAACAAGAGAAAACACTAAGAAAAAGAAGAAAAGAAAAGAAAAGATAGACTATAAAAGAGACAGACAGACGGATAGATAGATGAAGGAAGAAAGAAAAGAAAAAAGAAAGAACAGACACACACACACACACACACACACACACACACAGAGGAAGACAGACAAAGAAAAAGAAAAGAAAAAAGACAGATAGACAGATGAACAGACAGAAAAAAAGACAAACAGAATGATGAACAAAGAAAGAAAGAAAGAAAGAAAGAAAGAAAGAAAGAAAGAAAGAAAGAAAGAAAGAGACAGACATTATCTACAAGAAGTTAAACACACTCTCAGAGTCTTTGTCTGAGAAACTAGGTCAGTTTGGAGTTTGGAACAGGAGTCGGTTCCTCTCTCTCGTAAGCAGCCCCTCTCCATCTTCGCTTGTGCCCCAGAGTAGGGGCTACAGCCAAGCCCCCCTCATCCCCCAATTTCCTGTCCTATTTGGCTGAAATGCAGCTGAAAAAAGGGGGAATCTCTCAGTCTTGCTCCCCTAAATGCTCCCCACATCAACACACACATAAACACACACA